CAAGAGGGCCTCCAGAAGCAAATGTCGTCCCATTCCCTTTGGAAAACTTGCATTTTTAGTGCATTCGACTCTTGGGCGTTCACGACGTCTCGGACGGCCCAAGAGGCTCCCGAGAGGGCTCCAAGACGACCCAAGAGGGCCCGAAGACGGCCCAAGAAGCCCCGGGCCCAGAGGGGGAACCCGAACGGACATTTCGAATCTTCCACCCCAAGACGCCTCCGGGTCACCCCAAGAAGCCCCCAACAGGCCCCAGGGAGCCCCAAGATGGTCGCAAAAAGCCCCCACGAGGCCCCCAGGAGGCCCCCTGGAGGTTCAAAAACTGTCTCTAAGACGCCTCCGAGACGCCTCCCACGAGACCCTAACAGACATCCGAATGGCCTCAGACTCGCAACCCAGGCACGGTGGCGGGATGTGCCGAAGGCCACTCGACGATGACTCTTCGGGTGTTTTGACAGATGCCTGCCGTCTGTATACGTGGGCTCTCGCACGCTTCCCCGTGCGTGCACGGCGAATGCTGAGAATGTCAGCCCAAGAGGCCCCGAAAAGGCTCTCAAGAGGCCCCCATGAAGCCTCGAAGGAGCTCCAAGAAGCTTCCAAAAGGCGCCTAAGAGGCCCTCAGTAGCAACCCACACAACAACCGCCACTTCCCCAAGGGGTCGGCGGTGTGGTGTAAGCCCAAGAATCGAATGTGCGCGGCGCTATTCTGAAAACGGTCCACCCTCCATCCTTGAGGCTGTTGCACAATTTGAAGACGGATGAAGGCGAACACCACGTTTTGAAAGCAACCCGCCCCCCAATCCTGGAGCTGTTCCACATGCCAAATTCCAGGGCCATCAATGGCGAGGAAGTCTCAGGCGCAACGCCTGGTCCGCCCTACCGGCACGTCTGGGGCTGCAACAGTGAGTGATTCAGAAAGACAAGGGGGACGGAGCGCGGAGGAGGAATTCCCTTACCCCCTTTCTGGGATCGCCCGAGCTCCGTGCCCTCCGAGAGCCACGAGGGCGCGGGCGGGAGGCGCGGCGGCGGCGCGCTCGACTGAGGAGAGGGGCAGCAATGGCACGACCCATCCTCCTCGCTCCTCGCTCCTCGCTCCTCGTTCCTCGATTCGCTCCTCCTCCTCCTCCTCCTCCTCCTCCTCCTCCTCGCTCCGTATGCGATCGGCATTCTATCCATTCCCCTGCTCATGCCCCGACCCCACGAGGAGCTTGAGCGGCGGCATGGATAAAAAGCTGGCCTCAGGAGCCACGTTGTTTATCCATGCTCTGCTGCCCCTGGCGCCGGCGCCCAGAGTGCGGGGCAGCAGCAGGGATATATGGATCGAACGTCGATCGGCGAACCCGAGGAAGTGGGGAATCGTATTCCTCTGAATGTGTGGTCGTCTTAAAGAAAACCTGCACAAACATAAACTTTCGACGGTCCGCGCGGACTACTTGGATCGGCGCTGGACCCCCCTCCCTGGCGCGCCCCTGAGACGCCGTCCAGGGGGCCCAGCGCAGATCCAAGAGATCCGCGCGGAGCTAGGACAGTCTATGTTCATGCCGTTTTTTGTCATCCGACCTCAGTCTCGCGCATCGCGCCTTGCGATCACCTCCACGCCCTCGCGCGGCCCGCTTGGAGAGAAGGGCAACCGCTGCGGCCAGGACCTCGCCGTGCGAAGCTCGATGATCTTCTCGCCCCCGCGGGTGACCTGGCTGGCTCTGTTCATCCTCCAGAGGCCTCCGGAAGAGCTCTCCAGAGCTCCAATGCGGGGGAACAGAGAGGGGGGGACTGGCTCAGCGAGGGGAACATCGATCTGGAATCAGCTCTACTTCGCCGATGTACTGGCGATGGGCCCCCGAAAGAGAACACGCACGGTCCTGGGCGGGGCGGGCCATCGGGCCCCCATCGGTGATGCAAGGGCGATTGGGGGTCGGTGCATCCCCTCCTGAGCCCGTCCCCGTGCCTTTGGGCCATCGCTCGGCTCTCTGGCGGCCGTTCGGGACTTTTCTGGCACCCTCGGAACGCCCCCGGCGAGGCGCAGCTGCTGGAACGCATCCCGAAGCTGGAAGACCGCCGGGAACCGACGAACACGTCCAGGAACTTCAAACCTCGAACTCGAGCCTCGCTGCCCCTGACAAGGACGCTGTAGAACTCCACGGGCCTCGGGAATTCCCAAAGATCTCACGGCTCGCGGGTGCGTTCCGCGAGAGAGTCCCGAGGCCTCCCTGGACTTCGTTTCGCCGCGCGTGGCGCAAGGCGTTCGGCCTCCCAGCCTCCTCATTCATCCTCCCCCTCGCCCACCCTTTCCACGCCTCCTCCCTCTCCTCCCCCTCCTCCTCCCCCTCCTCCTCCTCCTCCTCCTCCTCCTCCTCCTCCTCCTCCTCCTCCTCCTCCTCCTCCCCCTCCTCCCCCTCCTGCTCAAGAGCCATTCTGGCTCGAGCGTGCTTCAGCTCGCGCGGCAGCGCCCCGCGGTCGAGGCCTCCTCGCCTCCCTCGCGGGCGCTGGCCAAGCCAGGGCGAGCATCTAGGCCCCCTAGCGTCGCGCGTCGCGCCCCGCAATGCGCGATGCGCGATTATCCTCGCGCCCTCGCGCCGCCGCCCTGGAGAACGTCGCCTCTCCTTCCCAAGCCGCGATGCTCCCAGCGCGATTATCTTCGCGCCCCTGGGGGTGACCCAATGCATGTCGACGGGGGGCTGCCCACCGGCGTGGCGGCCCAGGTCGAAGTGCTATCTGTCCCACGGCAGCGCGGCGGGCGACAAATCTGCGTAGCCGCGCTACGCTGGAGACCGCCCTGTGACCGCAGCTGGGCTTGCGTGGCGCCGGCGAGGTTACAGTGCGCAACTTGCAGGGTGTGCGCGCGCTGCTAAGCTCTGGCAGGTACCTAGGCCACCTAGCTTTGCGCATCGCACCCCGCGATGCGCGACGCGCGGTTATCCTCGCGCCCTGGCGCCGCCGTCCTGGAGAACGTCGCCTCTCCGACCCAAGCCGCGATGCGCGAAGCGCGATTATCTTCGCGCCTCTGGGGGCGACCTAGGGCACTAGCAGCGCTGGCTCGGCGTCGGCGACGTGTGGCACACGGCTGTATCGAAGACGCTCGTCGTGGGCCAGGCGTGCCGTCCGCTCGGCACGCTGCGTGCAGAGACGGAGCCCTTGCTCAATGCCACCCAAGTGCCCCCTGAGTGCTAAGATGTGAAGACGGACGTCGCTGAGCTGCTGACCGCGCTGGCGGACCCCGAGTAGGCGCCGCAGGTCGAGCTACACGTCGGGAGGCCCCCGTGTAGCAGTGTGGTGGGCCTGCAGCGCCAAGAGATCTATAGTCGGACTTCGTGTCCCTTGCCCGCCTCAGGACTGCTGCTGCCGCCGCGGAACGTGCTGCTATGCAGCGCAGCGCCGCCGCCGCGGTTGGTCCCGAGGCCGAGGAGGTGCCCATGCTGCAGTGCGGCGACTCCATCTCCGTCGACGAACCAGCCGTGGATGCCACAGAAACCCACGTCGAGGGCGACGCGGACCGCGTGGCGCGGGAGCTGGAAGCGGACCTGCTTGAGGTGGAGCAGGACACCGTTCGTGTGGCCTGCGCCTGTGCCGAGAGCGCCTCCGCGCAGCCGCAGGTGCAATGCAGCGGAGGGCTGTGGCGCCGCAAGTGACGGCGGGCACAGACGGCAGCACGACTCGGGGGCAGTCCCGCCTCTACACGCGACTGCCGACAGATGTGACGCTGTGCCGCTTGCGCCGTCGTGTGTGCGCCTCTTTGCGGGGCCAGTCTCGGCGAGACCTCCCGGGGAAGCATCGGCCCGACGTGAGTGCGCCTTCGGGGTCCAGCACTGTCAAGCGCTCCTGGGGGAGCGGCGGACCGACTTGAGTACGACTCTTTGGGGGGGCCAGTGCCGTCGAGACTAGGGAAGCAGCGCGGAGCCCGCGGGACGGCTACGCGACGAGACGCGGTGGCGTGGATCACCAGCGTCGAATCCGACTTCCTCGTCTGAAGTCTGGGCCAAGCGAAGTCGCAGCGCCCGTCGGGCGTCGGCTTTCGGCTTCGGAACCGACCCTCCGATCTGTCCACTTAACTCCGCTCCTGCTCCTCCTGCTGCTGCTGCTCCTCCTCCTTCTCCTCCTCCTCCTGGTCTTCCTGCCCCAGCCTCTCCCCCTCCTCCTCCCCCTCCCCCTCCCCCTCCCTCCCCCTGCCCCTACCCCTACCCCTCCTCCATTCCTTTTCCTTATATGTAACTTCTCCCTGTCGCTCCCCGAGGCCAGTTTTTAGGACGGGCCAGGCGTTTCGCCTGAGACCTCCTCACCACTTAAGACTCTGAAGCTGAAAAAGTGACAAGAATTTCACAGATTGAGGGCGGGCCGTTTTCAACATGTGGCTCTCGCCTTAGCGCGGCGCCCAGTCGTTGTAAAAAATACACAACTTTTACGGATTGAGGGCAGGTCGTTTTCAAAATGTGGCTCTCGCCTGAACGCGGCGCACACTCGTTGTAACAGATTGCAAGAGCTTCACGGATTGAGGCGGGTGGTTTTCAAAATGTGGCTCTCGCCTGAACGAGGCGAAACTTCCTTGAAACAGATTGCAAAGATTTCACGGGTTGAGGGCGGGTGGTTTTCAAAATGTGGCTCTCGCCTGAGCGCGGCGAAAATTTCTTGAACCAAATTGCAAGGGTTTCACGGATTGAGGGCGGGCCGTTTTCAATATGTGGCCCTCGCATTAGCGCGGCGCACACTCGTCGTAAACATTTGCAAGAGCTTCACGGATTGAGGGCGGTTCCGTTTCAAAATGTGGCTCTCGCCTTAGCGCCGCGTACATTCGTTTAAAATAACCAGAGTTTCACGGGTTCCCATCGTCAACGTACCAGAAAAGGTGTTTTGGAAGGATTCCAGATTATGCGGATGCAACAGTTACGCTGGTTCTCTGTGTTGAAGTCCTAGGAGTGGCGTTCTTGCACGATTTAAGATCGCGAAGGCGTAACAGTCAGGTTGGTCCGTGGCGTTAGATTCCCGAGAACATTGTTTTGGCCTGCTTCAGGGTCTTCAAACGAGTGTCTTCCAACGAGGCAGTTCCATGAATGGAAATGAACTGTTCTAGGGGCCTATGAAGAGGGAGCTTGGAGGGAGGGTTTACTCCAACATCGTTGATGACTCTTGGGCTTACACTGGTCCTCCACAGTATCCTCCTCCTCTTCCTTCTCGTCCTCCTCCTCCTCCTCGTCCTCATCCTCGTCGTCGTCATCGGCATCGTCAGCATCAGCATCCTCATTCTCATCCCCATCCTCATCCCCATCCTCATCATCATCATCATCATCATCATCATCATCAGCATCATCATCATCATCATCATCATCATCATCATCATCATCGTCGTCATCACGATCACCATCACCACCATCATCATTATCATCATCCTCATGATCATCAGTATCATCCTCCTCCTTCTCTTCCTCCTCCCTTCCTCATCCTCCTCCTCATCCTCAACATCGTCATGATCATGATCATGATGATGATCGTCCTTGTCATCGTTATTGTCGTCATCATCGTCATCATCCTCAGCATCCGCATCCTCATCCTGAGCCTCAGCCTCATCCTCATCATCATCACCACTGCCATCACCATCGCCATAACCACCACCACCATCAGCATCATCATCATCATCAGCACCATCGTCATCGCCATGATCATCGCCATCGCCATCGTCACCATCACCGTCATCATCATCATCATCATCATCATCATCATCATCATCATCATCATCATCATCGCCACCGTCATCGTCGTCATCGTCATCTCAGGCCATCGGCATCAACATCATCATCAATATCACCATCATCATCATCAGCAGCATCATCATCATCATCATCGACATCATCGCCATCTTCATCGAAATAGTAAGGATAATCATCATCAACATCATCATCACCATCACCATCACCAACATTATCACCATCCCCATCATCCACCACCACCATCATCATTCTCATCAGTAGTAGCATCATCAACATCACCATCTCCATGACCATCAGCAGCAGCATCATCAGCATCAGCCTCAGCGTCAGCATCAGCACCATCATCAGCATCATCATCGCCACCACTACCATCATCATCATCATCATCATCATCATCATCATCATCATCATCATCATCATCATCATCATCATCATCATCATCATCATCATCATCATCATTACCAACGCCATCGTTATCATCAGAATCATCATAGTCATCGTCATCATCATCATCGTTATCATCAGCATCATCATAGTCGCCGTCATCAACATCACCGTCACCATCATAAGCATCACTATCAACATCATCATCATCAGCATCATCATCATCATCATCATCATTAGCATCAGCAGCAGCATCATCATCACCATCACCATCATCAGCATAATCGTCATCATCATCGCCATCACCTAGCCGTCATCATCAGCATCATCAGCAGCTTTATCAACATCATCATCATCATCACCACTACAATCAACATCACCATCACCATCACCATCACCAGTACCATCACCTTCATCACTATCATCATCATCACCATCATCATGATCATCATCATCAGCATCATAATCATTATCGCCATCATCATCATCATCATCATCATCATGAGTATCGTCATCGTCATCGTCATCCGCATCCTCATTCGCATCCGCATCCGCATCCGCATCCTCATCATCATCCTCATCCTCATCCTCATCCTCATCCTCATCCTCAACCTCCTCATCCTCATCCTCATCCTCATCCTCATCCTCATCCTCATCATCATCAGCATCATCATCATCATCATCATCATCATCATCATCATTATCATCATCCTCATCATCATCATCAGCATCATCATCCCCCTCCGCTTCCATCCTTCCCACCTCCCCATCCTTCCCCTCTCCTCCTCCTCCAACTCCCCCCCTGCTCCCCCTCCACTTCCCCCCTCTACTCCCCCTCCACTTCACTCCCTCCCCCTCCACTTTCTCCTCCACTTCCCCCTCCACTTCCACTTCCACTTCCCCCTCCACTTTCTCCACTTCCACTTCCCCTCCACTTCCACTTCCCCCTCCACTTCTACTCCCTGGTCGCCAGGCCAGCAGTCGGCTGCGCGCCCCCCCCGGCCGGCCCAAGCCTGGCCTGCTTGGCGGGCGGGGTCCCTTTGCTGCCAGCACGCGCGCTCAACTCGTGAGCGCCGTGGGCGAAGGTGCACTCGTCCTGACGGCGATCCTCCTCCTCCTCCAGCTCCTTCTCCTCCTCCTCTTCAACCCGATCCTCATCCTGATCCTATTCAGCCTACTACCACGACCATGACCATGGCCATGGTCATGACCATGACCATCACCTATCACCTATCACGATCACCATCGCCCTCAGCATCCTTATCATCATCACCACCACCACTACCACGACCATCATCATGATCAGCATCATCATCATCAGCATCAGCAGCACAATCGTCATCATCATCATCATTATCATAATCAGCATCAGCATCAGCATCATCATCGTGATAATCATTATCACCACAATCACCATCATCAACATCAGCATCAGCATCACCGTCAGCATAACCACGACGATCATTATCATCATCACCACCATCATCATCATCATGACCATCATCATCATCATCATCATCATCATCATCATCATCATCATCATCATCATCATCATCATCATCATCATCGCCATCATCATCGTCATTGTCATCGTCATCGTCGTCGTCATCGTCGTCGTCGTCACCATCATCATCAGCAGCCGCATCATGGTCATCATCATCATGATCAAGGTCATCATCATGGCCATCATCAGCATAATCATGGTCAGTATCATGATCAACAAATCAAGTAATCAATCAGCCAATCATCCTCATAATCATGCAATCAAGCAATTAAGCAATGAGTCAGTAAATCATCGTCGTTCTAATCATGGTCACCACCATCATCATCATCATCATCATCATCATCATCATCATCATCGTCATCATCATCATCATCATCGTCATCATCATCAGCAGCATCATCATCAGCAGCATCAGCATCACCATCATCATCACCATCATCATCAGCAGCATCACCATCATCGTGGTCGTCAGTCGTAACATCGCCGTCATCATCAGCGTCATCATCATTATCGTAATCGAACACAACGTCAACAACATCAACATCCCCATCGTCATTATAATCAATCCGATCACCATCATCCGCACCGTCACCGTCGTCGACGTCACCATCACCAACATCATCATCATCATCATCATCATCATCATCATCATCATCATCATCATCACCATCATCATCATCATCATCATCATCGTCATCAGACTCGTCGTCGTCACCGTCATCATCGTCATCTTCTCGGCATCTTCATCAGCATCACCATCATGACCAGCCTCAGCAGCATCATCGCCGTCGTCGCCGTCGCCATCGTCATCGCCATCGTCATCTTCATCATCAACATCATCAGCAGCATCATCATCATGGTCATGGTCATCGCCACCACCACCATCATCATCATCATCATCATCATCATCATCAGCCGAATCCTCATGATCATGCTCATCATCAACCCCATCATCATCGTCATCATCATAATCAGCATCGTCATCGGCATTATCAACATCATCATCTTCGTCAACAAAATCATCGTCATCATCATCATCGTCCTCATCCTCATCATCGTCATCACCGTGGCCATCGCCATCGTCATCGTCATTATCTTCATCGTCATACTCATCGCCGCCATCGTCGTCGTCATCATCATGATCATCAGTATCATCATCATCAGCATCATCATCATCATCGTCATCATGATCACCATCACTATCATCGTTACCATCACCGTCATTACCATCAGCTCACCACAATCATCAGCATTATCATCATCACCACCACGATCGTATTAGTATTCCTCCTCCTCCTCCTCCTCCTCATCCTCATCCTCCTCCTCATCATCATCATCATCATCATCAACATTCTCATCATCGTCGTCCTGTTCCCCCTGTTCTTCATCATCACCACCATCATCGACCCTCACCGTCATGGATCGCCATGTATCCTCCTCCTCCTCCTCCTCCTCCTCTTCCTCCTCCTCCTCCTCCTCATCCCCCTCCTCCTCCTCCTCCTCCTCCTCCTCCTCCTTTTCCTCCTCCTCCTCCGCCTCCTCCTCCTCGATCCACGAAGGTCAAGGCTCCTGAGCGTGTCTGACACTCTTTGGGTTATTCGATGCCTCCGCAGGTCTGTAGCCTCCCCAAACCAACGAGACCTCTGATGGGGGGAGAGAGACGGGATAGGGAAGAGAGAAAGTGGCACGGGGGGAGGGGGGCGGGAGGAGGGAGGGGGGAAGGAAGAAGGGGATTGAGGTGGGAAGGAGGGAGGAGGGAGACAGTGGGACAGAGGGGGGGATGTTCAGGTGGAAGTGAATCTGACGTTGCGGGCACAACTGTGCGCTTTCTAGACTGCGCAACAAAAAGGTGGAAGTGAACAGAGAAAACAGAGAGGCGTTTTCTTTTGGTGGCGAACCGCCACCGGTGACAGCCTGTGCATTCCAACGAAGGGGCGAGTTATACTGCCGAAGGCCTATGCTCATGGCCTTTCGCTGCATCTTGGGAGCGGAGTGGGTGTCCGGCCCAAGACACGCAGCAGGGTCTGCTCATCGGTTGCCAACAGCATGGGCATGAGTCCCACGTTGATGGCCCCTGGCGAGGACTACGCTGATGCCAACGTCTACCCCCCCTAGGTCTTGAACTTCGCTCCAGATGGCCCCCCAAAAATCAACATTCAAACGCCGAGGGGAACAGAGCCAGTGAGGGCCGCTATTGAGACCGTCCAAGAGGCCTTCGAAGTCCGCGTGGACCACGACGGGAGGGGGGCGCACGTGGAGGACCTGGAGGAAAGCGAAAAGCTCGGCCCGAGGAGATGACTGGACTGGGCCTGTCAGAGGCCCCGACGCCAGGATCTCGATGCCCTGCCTCGCTCCACGGAGCTTCGCGAAGCCCCGGCCCGCTCGGACCGCCTCGGTTACCATAGTGCACCGCCCATCGATTATCATGCATCCTCGGCGGCTCGCGGGAAACAGCTGCGACTGACCAGCCCGCGCGACCAAGGCAAGGAGTCTCGAGACAGAGCGGGGGGCCCTCTCTGATCGAAGGAGCGCAGGAATTCGGTTCGCCTCGTGTCCAAGAAGGAGACCTGCCATACGATGCGGCAGATGGCACGTGCGGGCAGCATGAGTCCGATCTGCGCCCGCAGCGGTGAAGCCTGTCTGGCGCCCATAGGTCTCCAGCCACCATCGTGCGAAGAAGGCCGCCTTCTTTAGAAAATCTGGCTGCCACGCTCGCGGAGGCTGGCTGGGCCCACGTGCATCATCGACGTCGTCTGGATTCACGTGCTGGCCACCTGTATCCTGATCGCTGCTAGAGTCTGGATCAGGGACGGGAATGGGATCTAGGATCTCGATGTTCGATTCCACCCAATAGCCGATTTGTTCCTTGGGACAGACGGGTTCCCCGGCCAGTTGCGGCCGCGATGCCCATCTCTCCCGCGGCCTCCGAACTGCGGCCCCCCGGGCCCAAGCCCGCGTCGTGGATGGAGCCCCCCGCCAAATATCCAAGACAACACCCAAGTCAGTGCACCATGCGAACCCACTGGAGGCCGTCCATCGGAGGTCCCTGAAGGCAAGAACAATAGCCCCAGCGGGGCCCGCCACGTGCCTCCAGGGGGACTTGACTTCAGATAATAAGTTGCGCGCCTGTGCACCCCGCCGCCTGCAGCACGCGCGACGGAATGGCGGCGTCTCGGCCCAAATGGGCCCACTGGAATAGAGGTGCTGTCCACGCCTCGACCTGCGGTGCGGGTCTGTGAACAGCGAACCTGGTAAGCAAGATGTTATTCAACGTGAAGTACCTGATCCTGGCGCGTTCCACGCCGTTTTCTGATAAGCGCGCATTTTGGTCAACGAGCCTCGGAAGAGCGCCATGCACACCCAATCCGTAGGTAACCGCAGGCGGCACTGCTTGCTTAGTGAATTTCGTGAGCAGTGCTCCAGCCTTCCGAAGGGTACGAAATCGAGGCCGACGACGAGCGACCCCCTCCACCCTCTGTCTCAACTTGGCATACCGAATGGGCCGACCAGTTGGTTGCATGCCCATTTTCCGAGCTTGGGGATGCTGCTCGTGACATCCATCTTGTCAGCAGCTGGCGGCAAGCCCAATATATTAAGGACGCGGACTAGTAACCGAAGGAGCTTTAGAAACCACTCGCATATCTTAGAGAGGGGACCTCGGGCGCCAATCGTGATGTCGTCCGCGTAAAAGGTCCAACGAACGAGGGATAGGCGCCGCGCGTCTCTCAAAAGAGCCAAAGGCCGCAAGCATTACACACTGCAGTGCGAACGTGACAAGCTGGCATCCTGGCAACGCGCCCTGACGGGCGTAATCTGGCGTCGAAAAGCAACTGTCCCACCCTAGCCTCCTCTCTCCCATGTACATCCTGAATGCAAACGACATGAACTGGCCTGGAAATTTGTGGGCGGACGCCGCCCGAAGTAGCATGCCCCATGGCACCTTGTCGAAACATTTCGCTATGTCCACGATCGCGTGAACGTATGCTTCATTCTGAGAGATCTGACCTGCTTCCGCTTGGACTAGTACCCTGGCAGCAACGTCGGTGGTAGCGCGTCGAGACCCCTGGGCCAAGTAATTTCGCCCAAGACGTGACGCCCAAGATCTGACCCAATCCGAGCGCGCCTTGGCCCAAACTCGATATATGGAGGGGGGCAAGGCGATGGGGCGGTAGCCCCCAGACGGCTTGCCAAAGATAGCGATGTGAACCCGGGCCAGCATGCTAGGCCACGTCCCAAGCGTTTCACCAAGATACAAAAACTAACCGGGACACGCCAATGCTCCATTATATACCTAGGCCCAATGACGAGGCCTAAATCGATCCACGCCTACTGCGGTGCGCCTAGGAAATTGAAGAGCTGTTCGTCGCAGTTCCGAGATTGCAAGAGGAGGAAGAGGAAGGAGGAAGGAGGAGGATGAGGAGGAGCATTGGAGCCATGGGGAACAGAGAAGCGAACCCGCGCGAGAGGTATGCCTCACAAAGATTACTGCCTCATCACACAACGGGCCGCCCTCCGCCCCGACACGGAGACACCTCCCTCCTCGTGTGCAGGGGAGGCCGCTCGCTCATCAGCGGGGAGCTCATGCAACACAG